GATTCAGAACCAGATCCGGATTTCGACTCAGAATCTAGAAAATCCGAGGGCAGCAGAAAACGAATGAAGAAAAAGAATAAAACTCGAACCTCCAGTTCCGAGAGAAAACGGTTAAGAGATAGTGATTCCTACCTTTCGTCGTCTGATTATGATGATTTAGTGATTCGGAGTCGGGCAGTTCACATTACATCGTTTTGAAAAGAGTTCCCAACTCCATCGCACATACCACCTCAATCATCAACACCACCAACACTACAACCGCACCAAACCACCACCAACACCACAGATCTAAAATCACCACACACATACACATATACCACAGTGCCACACCACACACCAAAATCACCATCCAAAACTCTTCCCCATCACACCTACAGGAGCAGCGCCTCGACGCTGTGCAAGGCAGCTTGCGACGCCAGCAGCTCGCGATTCACAATCGCGCGAGTGGAGATGGGAAGGAGGAGGAAGAGAGGATGGAGAAGGGGAGGGGACGAGAACGTCGGCAGTCGCGTCGCTGGTGGAGACGGGAGGGAGGGGGAGGAGAGGCGGAGAAGGTGAGGAGACGAAAAATGAAAAATTAGGATGGAGACGGGATTGATAAATTATGGTTTTAATATACTACCTGATATTTACAAAAATAAATTTGAAACGTAATTTTTTAAAATGTATACCTGACTTTTAAAAATGTCAAATTAAACCCCTGATTTTTTGTAATTTCCCATCTAAAATCTACATGTAGAGGTGTCAATCCGAGTGGTTCGGATGGGGTCGGCCCACCAACATATGAGCCCGGTAACAGTTCGCGTGAAAAAAAGCCCGCCCGCTACGGGTTCTGGGTCAGCCCACAAAGTTTGGAATACAACTCGGGCTAGCCCGCTGACTTATTCGGGTCGAGCCCATGCGGGACACGGGTTCGCGGTTTGTTCCAATTTGGCCCGTATTATTGTATAAGTAAAATTATAAAAATATAAAAAATTTCATATTTATAGTAAAAATTTTTTTTTTTTAAATGTAAACTAAGAATTGAACAAAATAATAAATTCATATTTACACAAAGAAATGTTTACATAGAATTCAAATTTAATGTTACATGAATTATTTATAACTTTGTAAAGTTAAATAACAATTAAATGCATTTCTAATTACTATTATCAAATATTTATAGTATAAGTAAATCTCAATTAGATTAACACCTAATTTTATTATAATTTATAGTTTAAGTACATTCCAAATAGGTTGACACCTGCTTAAGTCTTAACTATAATTTAGTTGTTCAAAAATTATATATTTTAATATTTGTATATCCACATTTCAGTTATTTACTTTTACATATTTGTTTAAAGATTATATATTTCAAATGAAAAAAAAAAAATTCACGGGCCAACGGGTTAACCTTGGCCTGTGAAAGTGCAACCCGCGAAGCCCGCGGGTCACACATCCTTGACCCGTGAACCGCCCGCTCGGGTCAGGAGTTGGCCCGCGGTCCCTGGTCGATCCGGGCCGGCTTTCACGGGTCTAGCCGACCCGTCCGTCTTGACACCTCTACTGCTAAGGAAAGTCTACAAGAAGCTATCACTTGGATCCATATGCCATTTTCAAGATGCAGCTAATAAACATAGTTATAGAGGCTATTCTCATTAGAGATACCTCCCAAGACAAACAAGTTCTTGCCAAAAGAAATTGGTGCAGCAAAAAAATAAAACAAATTTCAATTTCCACAAGGGATCTACTTTGAGTTAAGATGGAAACTGTNCGCGGATCACACCTCCTTGACCTGTGAACAGCTCACTCGGGTCACGGGTCGGCCCGTGGTCCGGGTCGATCTAGGCCGGTTTTCATGGGTCTGGCCGGCCCGTCCGTCTTGACACCTCTATCTACATGGTTAGTATGTGTAAAAACTTATATTTCTTCTATCAAGATTTTTAATAAAATAAGATAATAATTTAAGTTAAAGTAAATTATAAGAATCTTTGGGCAAATAAGTAATTCTTATCTATGTTAATTATTTACAAGTAACTTCAAAGATTAGCTCAACTATACCCAAGTATGCCACTATCAAGTTTCAAAACTGATTGTACATACAATGACATTGATATATATTTGTAGCTGTAAATTATTAGTACATTAGATAAAGGATGCAAAGGTGGATCCTTCACTGCTAATTATGTGATTTAGTTGCAAGTTACTAACTTACTATGATTTATCTACTCATTCTTGCCATCCTTGTATTAGTATTTCTTTAGTGATTTTTATTTTACAAAGATAATTTGTAAGCATTTTGGTGTAAATTCATTGTGTGGTGGTATCACATGAATCATAAATTAAATATTGGAGCCTTTGAAATTTAACTTCTAAATGGAATGTCATAACTATTTGGCTGCTAAAATCTATTAATCAATAAATTCTATATTGGTACTCTAGATGCAATTATATATATATGGTCGAATATAACAATAATACTAGGATTTTTGGCACGTTGACTTCGTATTCGTGGGCGGTTAGTGACATCTTCACTTGTCATTCTAAAAGTAAATTGTTAAAAATTTCAGGTAAGTAAATTTCCCCTATCTTCATGAGTACTCTACATCGTTAAATGTATAAATGTGTTACGTAAAATTATTATTATATGAATTTGATATTTGATTAGTACGTTTTATGTCATTAATACTTTCTCATAATATATTCATACACATCAATGCATCTACAACCATACATGAAATTTTAAGGAATAAAAAGTTTTCAAATATCACGAGTCAAATGTTTTTAAAGATATGCATCTCAAATATTTTGTTAAGAGGTGTATGTCCATACCATGAAAGGTGTGAGTGGAAAATGAAGCATGGGATATCGACGCATCTAACCAATTTTCAATATTCAATGATAATATTAATGTTAATCGCTTTGTGGTACTACCTGTAGGACGAATCGGGTTCCAAATAATAATTGTCCACTGCATTCAGATTGACTATGTGATACACCAAGTGAGCTCACGTCATTAATGTTAAGTTTTTAAAGAAATGAAAGAAAAAGGGATACATAGTGAGAAATACTTTTTAAAGAAATTCATACGCATACCATAAGCATTCATTATGTGCATGAAGTTTGCTTACCGAGCGTTAATTCATTCCACATTATTCTTCTATATTTTCAGATAATGAATGCGAGATGATTCAAGACGACGACTTGTGGTAAGAGGGATTCAGTACTCATATAATTTAAATATTTATTTTTTTATGAAATAAAGTTAAGTTTTGATTGTTCTATACTTTATAAGTACACATTATTTTCATTAATTAATTAATTAATTAATATTTATCATGTTAAAGAAAAAAATATAATCGTATTCCGCATTTATAATTTTAATAGAAAATTAAACGATAATACTTCAAATTTAGGCATTTGAATTTGGGGTATTACAATTAATTTCAACCACACATTCACAACAACTACCCACATATTATTCATGCATTTTGTTGGAACCTCTACTTATTTTCGTTATAATATCCTGATAAGTTTGTTAACAAACTAATAGGTTGGTATACGCTGTGATATCACTTGTTAGGGAAATAAAGGACCAAGGATAATATGACAATATGAAAATCAAACAACAAAGAACACAAAATTTTACTTGAAATAAACCACAAGCAAAAGAGGAGAATTCACTAATATCAATAATCGATAATTACAAATTGTGTAGAATGCAAGAATGATTTTTCAAGAAGTTTACTCATATTTATAGTACAAAGAAGAGCCCAATATGTGGTAGAATTATACTATAACAAGTCTAAACAATAATGGAGTGTTTGAAATAAAATATAATTTAAAAAATATGCCAAAATCGCGAACTGTTCATTCCCGGAGACGTTGAGTGGTGGCTGATTGCTCGAGTGGTTGCCTGCAGTAAGCGAGGGCTGGAACTCCTATTTTGAGTGCTTGAGTGGGATCAAGGAGCCTAACGAGCGTTGGTTCGACATTTTCTTCTCCTTGTGCAATTTCTTTATTTCTTATTGCAACTTGGACTCTTACAAGTCTTTTTCAAGGTCAACGTAAATTCCAAACTCCCAATTAAATTCTAATTAGAATTTTCAAATAGAACTCGAGTCACACTCCAATGCTAGCAAATTCAATTCACTTGCAAGTAAATAAGTTTTTATTGACTAATTTTCAAATTAAATACTTGATAAAAACATTATATTATAGAAAAACTTATTGAATTCTCAAATAATTTTGTTTTTTGCTCTCACTTAAACGAGCACTTCAGGATTCTCTCGCTCGATTTAGCAAGCAAGCAAAATGTGCTAGGCTCTTTTTTTGCTTATTTTCATGCCTTGGAATTGTTCCTACATTAACAAAGTATAAGTTTTACACTAATAAAAAATTATAGTGATTTTTATAAAACTTTTTTATATACCTCTTATATTGAAAATTAATATTCTTCATGTATGGTCCTAGAAATCCTTTAGAAAAGTGCATTTAACGTCTATCAACCTATCTGTCGAGTAAATTTGTTGATCAAAAGATTTATCCTGGGTTTTATCATGTAGATTTACAACGAAATACCACCTTGTTGGAATTCCATTGCTATTTATTCACTGTTATCGTGTTTACTCGATAACATTAACAAAGAAAAATAATTTTATCATTACATAGACATGTCGGAATAACATTTTGCTTGTTTATTTATAGATAGTTTATTCATGTTCTTATCTGGGATGGACCATGAGTTCCACATAAGAAAGCACAATTTCATATGAAATTTTATTCTTGCAAAGATAAAAGACAATTTATTCAGAATGCCACTAGAAATTCGAAATGACACACAACATGACTTTTATTACAGAGTTTTGCTACACAAACATAATGCTTGACATAGGGGATGACACAACACACACACACATGGGGATGTCGGCATTATTTAATTCAGGTCGGGACCCACATGCAATGTGAGTGGTCGGTCAACCTCCATGTCAAGCATAATGTTCATTTAGCTTAATTCTTTATTACACATCCCCACGGAATTGTTGCAGTGGAATTGGTTCAACAATTAGTGAAGTTAAGTCCTTTTTAGTCTGGAGATGAGGAACTCCAAATCCATCTCCATACAGGTAAAAGCATCGAGAAATCTTTGCCATATTAAGTGCCGGACCAACGAAATCCTTGAAGGAGCAGTCCATTAGTATATCTTTATTCAATTTCTTCAATGTCACATCTAGTAGATTCTCAATGTGGTCTCTAGCATCCCCTTCGGAACAGCCTGTGTCATTCATGTAACACTGGATTGATTTTGGAACATCACCTCTCTTGAGTTCATCCTGGAATATATATACGTGAGTTCAAACATTCATAAAATATCATGTATCAATTATTATAATTGTATCAAAGAAAAAGATGCTTAATATGCAGTATCGTAGGAGACAAATTAACTTTGTTTTTCTTATTTTAAACTGGACTGTGTACCGAACATAGAGTTAAGAGTCGAGTTTGCTTACAGATGAAGTTCCCAAGTCATCTGTTAGACGAAGAATCAGTGATGGCCAGTGAATGATACCGGGGTTTTGCTCCAGACGTCCCAGATCCTTCTTTGTTAATGGGTTTATTGTGGTAACATAACCATGAAAAAGAACCAAAGGTCCTGTTGAGGATGTAACGGCTATGTTGAGGTACTCACTCAGGCTGGGAAAATACCCACTGTTATACCATCTAGCTTCTATCAAATAGAGTCTACAAAGCTCCGCCCACTGATGGATGTAAAAATTATAATCAGAGATATATGATATATATTGATCAATAATTAATAATTTTTAGCATGTAACATTAAAAATTAAAACCTATCACGAGACATAAAAGTAGAATAAGGTATAGAGAGAAAAATTATTATACCAATTTCTTGGCGTTTGGGATTATGTTGAAATTATGGTCTTTAAGAATATCGTAAGCCATTTCATTAATGGAGTTGAAGAGAAAAAGGAAACAAATCCTCAAGTATTCTGGAAGCTGGTCTAATGCATTGATGTCCCACCTGATATACCAAAAAAATAAAGATTTTCCTGAGGGAAAGAATTAAAATGTGTTGAATGCATGAATGAGTTGTCTAATGCATCAAAAAGAAAAAAATTGACCCCCTATGTGAGTGGTTGCCAACCGAAGTTCTCAAACTCGATTGTACAACTAGTATGATCCAGTGTTAATAGGCACGGCTTAAGGCCCCACAACCCACCTAGAATCGGGATCTGTTTTGCTAAATATCATTGGTTGAAAAGTTGATAAAAATTGGAGTCAAATAAAATATGTGATTAAAATTAACTTAAATTTTATTCAACTTTTTAAATTATATCCAATGGAGGCTAAATATATGGCACGTGCTGAGTGAGCACGGGCTGTGCTGATGGGTCATGCTGCTATGCATTATCATAAACCAACCTCTCCACTATATCAGTAAAAAGCTCAAGTTCATCTAAGCTCCCATATACGTCATAGAAGTCATCAATAATTGTTACTAGTACAGCAATAATCGTTGAAATCCTTCTACTGTATCGAAATTGTGGTTCTGGAGTGAATCCCAATGCCCACAGGAAGGACTCCACCAATCTGTGCCGAGCAAAGCTCAACTTCTCTGTAAGAGAGCTTTCTTTATACCACCTGATCGAATACAAAGTTAAACACATGACTTTAGCTAAAAATGAAAAAATGGGATTCTTTTTATATTCTTTCTTAGATGGAATACCTTGACATTTGTTTTATTTCATCTTGATACATAGCCTGTACGATGTTGAAATCCAACTTAGCAAATTCGAGTATGGTATAGTCTGCATCGTGTCTATTCTCGTACACATATATGAACCACTTTGCTTCAAGTTTCTGCACTCTCCAGTGCAGCGGAAGCTCTAATGCATGGCTGACTTGCATAGCAAGACCTTGGTCTGTAATATGCTGGAGTCTTTCCTTGAGATGATGAGTCGCGAAATTTCTAGCCTCATCCAGGATGCCTTCATTTTCCATCGATAGAAATGAAGCTTCGTAGAGAGATAAAATTCCTACAATATCCCCAGAGAGTTCTGCATTGAAATTTTCTCCCTCTTCCATGAAACTGGAGAAAACTTCTGGAAAAGTATAAACTTGTTACAGAAATTAGAAATTAAAAAGGTAACAACACCCCCAAAATAACCGACCCACCCCTTTATGGAACTTTTGGTTGTCAAAAATAGACAAGATTTAAACTTTCTCAATATTATCGAGTATTGCATGGTCCACTCTGCTAAACACATCGTCAGTTTTTTTTTTCGTTATCTTTTAAAGTTTCTATAAAAACAAAAGAAGTTGTCCAGAAGGGGCACCATACCTTGAGGGACATTGTATCCATGTTGTCGAAGGAGTCTAAATTTTAGAGCTGTTGAATACAAATCCTTTTCGTTCTGATTATCTGAATCTTTATTAGTAAGATATATATGCTCCAATATTTTCTTTACTTCATCCTTAAAGTGGTAACAAACATCAAGCCTTTGCAAATTATCAATAAGCTCAAGTTGATGAAGCACATCTTCCGTTTTGTTGATGATAATTCTTATTTTTTCTTTCAAATTCTCAGCGAGTTCCAAGTATTCTTTTCCCTGCAGGTTTAACATGACAGTATCAGAGACGCACAATGAAAAATGAAAGGGTGGTTATCTTTATCTTACCAAATATGGAGAAAATATTGACTGCACATAATCGTCATTCCAAACACTTGGTTCATAGTTTGCAGATCTCCTTGCCTCCATGAGTTCTGAAACTTACTGTAGCTTGTGTGGATTCAAGTCTCCAGGTGCATGAACTTGTAGAACTTGCAGTTAAGAAGATTAGACAGTAGTTAATAATGTTAACAAGAAAAAGAAACTAATTCTTATTTAAGCCATTATCTAATTTATTAAGAAGGTATATTCAGTTTTCAAATTTATCTACGAAGACAGAAAAATAAAATATAGCGAAAATATTTATCCTAGGATTTGTGTGAAAACTTTAAGAACAAAAGACAAATTATTGTCTTGAAGACTCACAGTTTTGAAAGCTACGAAGAAAACTAGTTGAATGCTAAGTTGAGGAATTCTCGTCAAAATCTCGGTGTATATTTTGCAATGGGCAAGCACGTTTATTTATAATGAAACGTGCAATAGGTACATGCACACACTAGTGGACTCTTATTATTTTTAATTACAAGGGGCCCACCCCCATGTCAGTGATTCAATATTCTGTATAAATTCTTGCATTATTCCCCGTACTCGCGTCATTATTCATTTATAATACATTTTTATGATGGGTTTATCCATGAGTTAAATCCATTAACGACCATCCAACTTTATACTTTGTATCATCATTATCACGTAATTTGATTTTGTTTTACCATGACTATCAACTTTATACTTTGTGTCATCATGACATGAGTGGGTTCTTCATCTCTTGTCCATGTTAGCGTTACTTTTTCGAGCTCAACATATTTTAATAAAAATTAATGAAATGTATGATTGAAAATATGATAAAAATTATGAATCCTATAAAAATGTTCGATATTTTATTGACATTTCGACCATGGCCACTTTTCTACGCAAAATGATGTGCCAGGACCGCAAAAAGTCATGCCATCAAATTAGACGTCAAAGCTCGTGTTCAAAAGTGTCTTCTTCTTTGATAACGCTCTCTGCAGAAAATTAGGAATGAGTTTTTCTAGGAATCAATGGAATTAAATCGGAATCAGATAGAAATGATATTTTTGGATAAATCAAATTTGAATTATAGCTAAATTACTTATGGGTAATATTATTTTTCAAATTATACCAAATTACCATATCAATATTGGACTCGTTTTAGAGTTTATAGTTAATTATGTATAGAAGAAGTTCATTTGAATAAGATCGAACCAAGTTAGAGTGATGAAAGAAAATTATCGTTAAGTGAAGTTTAAGGAATTAATTCATTTATTTAGTAATTAGACGTCACTTTATCCCAAAATTTGATTTCCACAGTCAGTTTAATTCAAATAGAGTTGTAAGTCTTAGTCAAAACTAAGTAAATTTTTTATAGTCAAGTCATCTAAAATTCAATTAACTAATCCATTGGAATCCGTCACTATCAGCTCTCCGTTCTTGACAAAATCTTAGTAAAACACTATTTTTGTAGAAATCAAATAGGAGTTTGACTGTTTATTAATTAAGTTGTTTGTATTAGAATAAAATAGGTAGGGATGGCCCGTCCCCCGCCCCACTAAGAAACTTCTCATCATGTTCCCGCCCCGTTACCCGTCCCGGCGCCCCGCCCCGAACCCACCCCGGGGCAAAATTTCCGTCCCCTCCTCAAATACCCGATTAAGTGGGTTATCCCAACTCCATTCGGGACGGGGCCCCGCGAGTACCATGTTTGTCGGATTTTTTTGTCATTCCTAAAAATAGGCCTTATAAGTTATATCTAATGTCATTAAGAGATCAATTTATTTAAGAATCTCCATTATCTTATCTTATATTTTTAGGATAATCATAATTTTACTAAGATTAAATCTAATTAATTCTAGCTAAGATAGAACTTATCAATTACTTTAGTCTAAACCTATACAAATCTTACGTGTTCCCCGAGTACCTTCAACAACTGTTGCGGTATAGTCACACCCACTGACATATCTCTGTGGACTAAAACTAATCTTGACGAATGCAACTGAAATAGTAAAGCATTACATGTCATGTTCATAGCTGTATCTGCTGAAGAGTTTAAGCGAGTGTCGATATGTGAAACTGTTAAAGAAGTTTGGGATATTCTAGAAACCACACACGAGGGTACCAAAACTATTAAGAATTCTAAACTGCAGATGTTAACCACTAAATTTGAAGAGATTAGAATGAAGGACGATGAATCTTTCGATAAATTCTATGCAAAATTGAATGATATAGTTAACTCTAACTTTAACTTAGGTGAAAGGATACTCGAGACCAAAATTGTTAGAAAAGTGCTAAAATCCCTACCCGAGAGGTTTAAACCTAAGGTGACTGTGATAGAAAAGTAAGGACTTAGACGCTGTTAAGATTGAAGAACTCGTAGGATCACTTCAAACTTATGAACTCACTATCTCACAACCTAAAAAGGGTAAATCCATCGCTGTGAACACCATTAGAAAAGATAAGAGTAAGTCTACTGATACTGAGACCCTCAGGGATGACGAAATTGCTTATTTCGTTAAACAATTTCAGAAGGTAATGAGGAATGGGAGAAAACCTCAAGTACGAAAAACTGGATTTTCTAGAAAATTCATGGAAGATAATTATGAAGAGAGTGACTCTAGAACTGCTAATAAGAAAACTCAATCTGTTAGATGCCATGAGTGTCAGGGTTACGGTCACTATATGAATGAATGTTCTAACTTGAAAAAGAGTTCAAATAATGGCAGACATAAGGCTTAGCTGTGACCTTAAGTGATGATAAATCAGATTCTAGTGTTTAGAGTGATACATCTGGTGAAGAAGATAATCAACGACTCATGACCTTTGCTTCTATAGCTACCATAGAATCTGATAAAGAATTTGAGATGGTTTGGGTTAAAAAGATTGATGTATCTAGGTCAAATGATCAGGTGAATTGTTATGTTGCCCACGTTGCACTTAAGGCACAAAATGTCTCTATGTGGTACCTTGATAGTGCTTGTTCTAGACATATGTGTCGAGACAAAACCTTGTTCTCTTTTCTAGATGAGTGGAATGGAGGTGTAGTTACTTTTGGAGATGGCTGGACTACCTATCATATCTGATGTGCTTTATGTGAAAGGGTTCAAGTCCAATTTGTTGAGTATCAGTCAAATTTGTGATATTGATTTTGAAGTTAGCTTTGTCTAGAAAAGGTGCACTGTGTATAATTCCATTGGTAACGTTGTTCTCGAAAGTGTAAGAACCTCCGATAATTGTTATGGAGTTTTACCAAATTTCATCTACGTTTGTAGTAGTGCTAAGATCAACATTACTAAGTTGTGGCATCAATGGCTGGGTCATATGAACCATAACAGTTTGTCTAAGCTTGCCAGAAGGAAATTGTCAATGGCATACCTAAGCTAGAAAATATTGATACCACTGTTTGTGGTCTGTTTCAACAAGGTAAACAAATTAGAATGCCTCAAAAACGAACTTCTGAGATCTTAACAAGCAAGCCTCTTTAACTACTCCATATGGATTTAATGGGACCATCTAGGACTGAAAGTCTTGTTGATAAAAGATATATTCTGGTTGTGGTTGACGATTTTTCTCGATATACGTGGATTAAATTACTGAGGGATAAAACTGAAGTATTCATTCTTATCACCTCATTGTGCAAGAGACTTAAAAATGAGAAAGGATGTTCTGTTTTCAGAATTCATAATGATCATGGAAAATAGTTTCAAAACTCTAACCTAGATAACTTCTGTTTGGATGAAGGAATCCAGCATAAGTTCTCATCACCGATCACTCCACAACAAAATGGGATATTTGAAAGAAAAAATCGCGTGCTTCAAGAAATGGCTAGAGTCATGCTTCATGGTAAGGATCTTGCCATGCATTTCTGGGGGGAAGCCATCAACACAGCTTGTCACATTGCTAATAGGGTGTATCTGAGACCTAAAACTGATATGACACGATATGAGATCTGGAAAGGTAAACGAACATTNGTGTTGGAAGCAAGTGCTACATACTAAGAGATAGAGAAAATTTGGGGAAGTTTGATGCTGAAAGTGATGAGGGAATTTTTCTAGGTTATTCCAAAAATAGTCGTGCCTATCGTGTTTTCAACTCTCGCACACGAATTGTGATGGAGTCCATCAATGCAGTGGTGGATGATGTCTGTAGTGAGGGGGAGACTGGAAGCAATGAGGTAGAGCTGGAACACCTAAGTGTTGATCTTGTCATGGTAGTTGAACCTAAAGAAACCCCGTTCACGATTCCCCACTTGCTTCCAATGGTTTCGATAGTCCTACTAATGAATCCACATTTGATGATAAACCTAAACCTCCAAAAGAACCCTCGTCTTGCATTAAAACGAATCATCCCAAAGTGAATATTACAGTAGATTTGGATGAAGGAATGAGACTCCGCAAGATGGTTTTGAACGATCTGATGTATGCTAGTTATGTATCTCAAATTGAGCCTAAGAAAGTGGAAGAAGCTCTTGGTAATGAATGTTGGGTTAATGCGATGCATGAAGAGCTAAATCTGTTCGTGAGAAATAAAGTTTGGGATGTAGTTCCTAGGCATAAATGATTGTAATGTTATAGGTACTAAGTGGATATTTAAGAATAAAACCGATGATCAAGGTACTATAACTAGAAATAAGGCTAGGTTAGTAGTTCAAAGATATACTTAGGTCGAAGGAGTTGATTTCGATGAAACTTTTGTCCCGATTACTAGACTTGAATCCATTCGGATTCTTCTAGCTATTGCCTGCACTTCAGGTTTTAAGTTATATCAAATGGATGTCAAGAGTGCCTTTTTAAATGGAATACTTCAGGAAGAAGCCTATGTTGAACAACATAAAGGATTTATTGATCCCAAATATCTGTATTATGTTTATAGGTTGAATAAAACCTTATATGGTCTGAAACAAGCTCCCAGAGCTTAGTATGATAGACTTACTACATATCTCGTGTGTACTTGGTGCATTCATCATGTTAGTTTTTAAAAAAAAATGAGGGGGAGGGAGGGAGGGGGGGGGGGGGGGGCAATAAATTTTTTTGCGACGGAAATTGTTTTACAACATGATATATAATACCCTTGATTTT